TTAGAATGTTGGGCAAAAGTCTTCCCACAATGTATGTTGAACTTCTTTCGCACCGTACTTAGCCAACGATGCTAATCGGTGAGATTGTTTGGTTATACTTCACCACAATAGCCAGTGCGGGTTAATCAAGCGGGCCTCAGATATCACTCGCCACTAATGTTAGCCATGGCACTGAATTAAACTCAGGCCACCAAGTTTATAGAATATTGTGTTAACCCCTGCCCTGCCACTCGAACGATATTTTAGCGACACAAATCAATTTCGGTCACAGGAAGTCATACAACTTTTTTTAAGCGACTTTGGTAAAGGACGATAATAGGTACCCCTAAATTACAAAACTTCCACGATGGGCGCTGCGGTGGCGAGATGTTAACTAGCTTAGCAGGTATACAGGAGACCGTGGGTTCCATCCTGACCCTGACTTCTGCATATTGAGTTTGCATGTTCTCCCCGTGGTCGCGTGGATTTCTCTCTGGGTTTTTCCCTCCACATTTAGAAACAACATGCGTTTAGAGTATTTGGTTGCTATAAATTTACACATGTTAAGCCACTTCGTTGAGTTTAACACGTAGGCTTTAACACGTAGGCAATTGGTAACTTCATTGTGTTACCAATTGTGGCCATGTCGCTTCTGAAAAAGTTATATAGCTCAGTCGGCCTTACCTGATCATTAAAAAGTTGTTTTACATCGCCCAAGCGGCATGTACGGGAGCGTGCAAAACCCGAAATGTTTAAGATACCACTTTGTCAGTCAGTCAGTGCAACCGAGAGGCAGCTCTGCTTCAATGAACGGAGCCCAAAAAAAACACATCTAGGCCCTGTCGCCCGGCGTTACAGCCGAGAGAATTACCGTCTAGACTGCAGACGCCCGTCGCCTACCCTGTGGCAACGTGACCCCAGAGAGGGCTCACTTCCTTCTGACACACCTCCCCGGCCACAGCGGAGCCGTCAGGCACAGACCGCTTTGTCCCCCGCGTGTGCCCGTGGTGTGGCGCAGTGTGGGTTACGGAGGTTTGGAGAGTCGTGTGCAAAATAAAAAAAACCTCAATGCATAGCGACAAACGCTGGTCATTACGGAAATAAAACCCGGTCTGTTTTGTGTTTGTAATGGGAAACATAATGAATTATTTAAACATTTTGACTCGGGACAAACGTTATAAAATGCCACCGTGAAATTGTTATTTATAATTTCGACGGCATGTACACCTATGGAAAATAAACATTGTTTTTTTTTTATAACAAATGAAAGGCGCGGGGGGGGGGGGGGCTTTGACAAGATAAATAAATGGTTAGACTGGGGAAGGCTTTTGTGTGCCAGTACTTCTTGCGTACGTGCTGTGCGCCCGTTCGCAGCTACCCCAGACCTGCAAAACCCCCCCACGCCCAGATTAGCGTGGCACCAACCCACAGCACCGCTCTCCATCCCCTCCCCTGATGATTGCTGCGGCGGCGGCAGGTGTGGCGGCGGCGGCGGCGCAGTGGGATTACGCGGCCAGGTCTCTCAACCCTCCTGATCTTCAAAGAGGCCCAGGAGCCCAGGCATGCCCCCCTCGCAGTAGAGATGAGTCAACCCCTTGCCGGATCTACCCAACTATGTGCCCCCCACACCCCCTTTGTATTGTCATCACATTTCCCCGCCAATGCATCATGGGAAGTTGAGTTCACGAAGGAGCACACATCACGTACTATTTGATGAAATACGTCGTTATCGGGCATGATCAATCTACGACTGCGTGCTGCGCTGATCACGGGGATTTTGTGGCCATATTTCACCATGGCGGGTGGATGCAGGACCACTTTAGACCACCACTCACCACTGATGTTAGCACGTGCATAATGAGTCCAATTGCCCATTGGAAAATGACCAGGAAGAGAACGTTTTAAATGGCAGAGATGCAGTATTGCCCCATGCGTCTGCTGATGTATCACGGTAGAATAAATAATTGTCAAATTTAGCAGTGAGCTCTCTCACAGAATGCAGCAAAATCCACCAGAACGCTCAGTTCGGGGCCATCCATTTAGTACGTACGCAAAAATCTGTCAAAACTTGACCCCCCCCCCCTCCCTGTACGTACGTGAACTTTTACACCCCCCCCCCTCCCTGCCCAAATCCTATAGAACGGCCGATATTTAATCCACGCAGAAACGATCAATGATTAATAATATTAACGTGTTTAAGCGAAAAGATAGTCCACTGCTGGACTATCTAACTCATTTGAAGGCCAATGTAGACAAATGATCGAGGCTTCACCCCCCCCCCCCCCACACCGCGTTTCCTATGCGTGCATTGTCAGTAGACCCCCCACCATACGCAAGCGTTCGCATTTGGTTTAACCCCCCTCCCCCCTCTATGCGTGCGTACTGAATGGATGGCTCCTTACCCGTAAAGGTGAGCCATGGTTGTCATGTTATGATTGGATGACATTGAGGTGCTCGTGTGTGTGTAAATGTAGGGCCCGCCAAAGGTATTTAAAAGTCTCATTCGGTCCACAGTAAATAAAAGATTTACCCTCTCCGAGCCAAGTAACACCAACAGACACGAGTATATCACCCTGGAGGTAATGTGATGAGTCACAGTGTCAGTGAGACACGGCAGTGTAGTGGTTACTTGAATTGCAATGTCTTTTAAGTTAATACAAGTGATTTCTAATGACCCCTTTTAGTTTATTCTCAACAGGTGATTTAATATTGTGAAATTGATGGCCTATTCCATACCTTAGATTGGAGAGTATTAATTATGAAGTAGGTGTATTGAGATTGTTAGGAGACATGCAGATGTTTTTGAAATCAAATGGTATTCTATTTATGATTTCTACGTACCACTTTAGTCGGGTATCTATACATGGATCACTCTTGTACACTATTTTTTTTAATGGGTGGCAGCGGTCAACCTCTGCAGATACAGTACTGGCAGTATGCCCAAAGCCTATCCCTCGTGGCCAATTTTGCTTTCCACCTTGAGTGGAATTTCCATGGGTTTTCTACTTTGAGCAAATACGTTACAACTTGAAGTGTATTATGCAACTGGACACTGGTCCTTAACCACTGCATCTGCTGCCAGTAAGCGTTCCCCCTGAGCACCTACAATTGATTGAATCGCTTATTGGTTATACAAAAATATATACACTGTACTGGATAGACTCCTTTGTTGGATATCATAAATACAATCGAAGGAACCACCAATTACAGTATCAGCAAACAATAATTTATTCGCTTATTCGAGATTATAAATGTAACAAAGATAACAACTACTTATTGGCAAAAGGTGAATTATTGCATCCATTGTTAGAAATCAGAAATGCGAGATTGATTCACACATTTGCAGTGGTTGGTCGTTTTGTAAAATGCACAGGCAGCTTTATCAAACACGGGCTATACTGCTGTAGGAGTAAACCGTTTGAGGGCCGATTAGGACTTTAAAAATCCTCGTGGAGAGGGGGGTGGGGGGCAAACTACACATTGGCACACAGCTCACTCAGTCTTGAGTTCGAAAACCTGCCACTCCAGGTCTATAAATACTGGGCAGTAATCCTGTAGTCAAGATCTGACCAACGCAATAACCACCAGATCTCAATACAAATTATTGGCACCCGAACACCGACGCTATATCCCAGACTGTCCAGGTCTAGGGTTACCGTCTCTCCGGGTTGTTGTTGTTATTGTTTGACTTGCATCCCACTGGGATTTTTGCACACAGCGTTGGTGTACGGTGCTATTTCAGGAATATTTTGATGTTTTTTCCCTCGATTTTCTGTTTGCACAGTCACATAATCACTTTAAGATGTTTTCTTGTTCATGTTTTTGTTTGTTGCGGTTGCACCCGATTCAAGAGCCGAATGGCTCACAGGGCTATACCAAAATAAATGAACTATGAACTATGGGTCAAACCCGCACCGATGGCAACACCAGCTTCTCGTCACTGAGAGTGTTCAGACTTTTATTTTCGAGTTGTCTTATGAAGCTCTGGGCAGTTTGAGCGAAAGGTCGTAGTTTGATGCTGAACTCAGTCGTGAAAAAGATTACGCCACTGGTGCAGATGAGCTTTATCGGTCATCGTTTCATTCATACATCGACACGTTTAAAAATATATCTTTATAAACGTGACAATCTTGCTGTGTGGTGATTAACGACAATTATGGCATAAACCCACTTCCACGTGGACTTAACAAAACAACGTTTTACACTCGGTTTACATTCGTCAATATCAGGCACATGAAGAAGGGTAATTACTTTAAACGTCGCCTATTAACTATTTTTTTGTTTCCTTTGACGAATGTTATTTGTGCACCACTCAATGCCCTTAGTGTCACCAAAAAAAACCACACTGACGTGAAATTGAAAAAAAAATTATAGCCGACGTTTATGGGCGATGATCCGTCTTCTTAAGTGCAACAAAATATCACGAAATAACTCGTTTTAACTTCGCGTCGAGCGCTGCGGGAACAACGCGGACTTGCAGGGTGCATATAAACTTCGTTCGAGACTCAATCATCGGGAGACAGTGAACCATCGAAATTGTAAAACGTTGCAGTGGGTTTACACTCCCAACACACACGGCCAGTGCCGAGAGCGATGGCAACTCCGTCTAACGCGTAGGCTTTCGCCACGACCAATATTTATGCACAACAGAAGTTTCATTTTTCGTTGGGTTACACACATACAGTATATATTCGCTGCGATCTAACTCCAGTGGGACCCCTCCGTTACGGAAGCGGTAACTCATCTGCCACGTTCTGTTTACGTGACGTTCCCCCCCACCCACCCACCCACCACTTCGTTCGCCGTGTCGGGGTTGTGGGGGGGGGGATTTCACGGATAAAAAAACCCCATCCACCCCACCTTTACTATGGATAACATTTGGTTCGCGAAAGCCGAACCACGCTAACAAGCGACGGCGAGTTTAGAACGGAGTTGGATTACGCGGAGTTCAACGCGGAACCGGGACCGGGAACCGGATCCGCCGCGCGAACCGGGAACCGGATCCGCCCCGCGAGACACGGTTCCCGCCCACGTGACCCGAAGGTGACTCACAGCTGAGCGGCGTACAGTGCAAGTACAGTGCTGTTGGGGAGAGAGAGGGCATTTGGCGGCAAGGGGGGAGACGAGACGCCGCAGGGGAGAGACACAGAGGAGGAGGGAGGGGGGCGGACGCTAAGGGGGCACGCCGCTTGTCCGTGTCCTGCCCTGACTGCCGCAGGAATTCGCGACCCGACCAGGAGCCGCACGCCACCCTCGCCATGGTAACCGCCTCCTCCATTCTCCCATTCTCCTCGTGCCATCATCATCATCCTCCTCCTCATCATCAACCAGGGCCTTGAACCTGCTCTTGGGTCTCTCCGTGCCCTCCTCCTCCAAGGCCTTCAACATATCCCTGGGTCTCCCTACGCCTTCATCATCATTCGCCAGGGCATTCCACATGCCCTGAGGTCTCCCCGTGCCTTCATCCTCCTCCACCAGGGGCTTCAACACATCCCTGGGTCTCCTCTTGCCTTCGTCCTCTCTCCTCTATCCTCCACGAGATTCATGTTGCCCTTGGATCTCGTCGGGCAAACATCTTCCACTCGAGTACCACGGTTTATCATCATCCTCACGCCCAGGAACTCCATCGTTGTAGCCTCTGATTCTTGGTAATTCTCCCGAATATTATTGTTTCTTTCGGTGAAAATTCAAATTTTTAAATAATAAATTATTATTTTCATTTTGAATTTTCACCGGAATTTTTTTTTCTATCTACGTGACATTACCGAAAGAACCAAAAATATTAATTCCTGCAATCACGAAAGTTTAAATTAAAAATCCTCCCTAGACCTGTTGTACCAAATATTACGCAACCTCATGACTTTATATCTGAAAGCCGGGTCTTTCCCGGCCTTCGCTCCGAGCCCACGTGGGTGCCCGTACGCCCTTCGCGCTCTCTCAAATATACTCGAGACGTCATCCTTGTCAGGGTCTTTATCTTTCGCTATATTTTGAAAATAACATACATTATACATTGCATGGAACTGTTGGTAACATGTTTTAATAACACGATGGCTTTCACACGTTCAAATTTGAATGTCCACGTAAAAATATGATAAAGTTAAGCGTGTGCATTTTTGCTTTCACTTGGCGCTACTGAAACGACAACATTCATGACAATTCCTTCCTTAAATGTAAATGCATACAGTGCATGCGGATCACCACCTTGAAATAAAGTGGAATTTCTCAACCTTCCTTGTACAATTAAACGAGCCATGCCCATCCAACAGTGCCCTTGGGTAAGTGTGACATGGTGATTAGTTTATTAAGGGCAACTCGAGTGAGGGAATAATTTTTAAGATGGGTGCTAAAATACACATCTCAGCCGTGGACTGAAATGTCACTGCAAGTTACCATTGCAACTGTGGTAACTGGGCGCTGCACTGACTGACAGCGCAAATAGTTTTGAACTTTCCTTTGTGATGAGAAAATGTTTTAGGGAAAAACTATAGAATCGCATAAAATATTAATGAAAATGTAGGGTAAAAACATCAAGAGAAGATGCACTCTTAGAGAAAATAGATTTTAAAACCTGGGGTGAATAAAACAAATTATATATTAATATATTCACTTAAACATTTTGGTCAACATGTATAAAGGAATTAATTCCATGGAGAAAAAAACAATTATGAAATTGTATACAATAATAAGCAACATCACATCCGCAGTCATATTTTTCAGGATTGAAATCTGTAAAATACGCCAATGAAGACACACTTGTTCGTAAGGACACAAGCATTCGCAAATGTTCTTTGTTATGATCTACTGAGTATAACACACATGGAATTAAATCTTTGTACAGACCTGATTTCCCATTAAAAAAAGATCTGAAGAAACCGCAGCGGCACTGGGAAGCAGAGGTAATGCCGCTGGTCGGTGGCTCAGTCCTCTGGCTTGTGATGATGCAATATCGGTATACCGGTGGTGAATGAACATGTAAGCCACACCGAGAAAATAATCAATCACGTCACCACATCACAATGTGAAATATGAGACGCCAATTGAGTCCGGTGCTGATTTATTTGTTATGTATTTTTTGTAGTAATATCGTAATCAAATTGTACAATAATAATGCCATTTGAAATTATGTGAGAATATTAAATATATATTTTATCTCATTATGCTATGGTAAGAGCTCATTGAAATTATTTCCTGAAAATCCTAAATCTTTCACTGTATATGATAATTCTTGAATAAAATCACCTTATTCCCTCTTGGCTTACTTGACCTCACAACATAAAGTGGTCTTTTGATTTAAAGCTATCGTGACTGCAGGGATTCATATTCTTGGTTCATTCGGTAAAGTAACGTAGAAGGGAAACAATTAAATAATAAAAATACAAAACAATAAAATTCTCACGACGTTTCGACTGCACCACAAGCACTCATCAGGTGTGATTGTACAATAATAATTGTACACCTGATGATTGCTTGTTTTGCAGTCGAAACGTCGTGAGAATTTTATTGTTTTGTATTTTTATTATTTTATTGTTTCCCTTCTACGTTACTTTACCGAAAGAACCAAGAATATAAAGTGGTCTGTTTGATTGATGCGTGATATACGTTTGTTCTGTCCAAGAGTACACCACAGGATTTCCATTTATTCGAGTGTCTAGGTGACCCAACTAGATGGTACCCCTGGTTAATTTGAAACCTTAAACAATGGAAGATTTATTCAATACATTTGAGAGGGTTAACTGTCTGACTCGAGTAACCATAATTCTTTTTGTAAAAAAAATATTTTGCTCATATTTCTTTGAAGTGTAAAAAAAATTAATGCAACAGCATGAAAGGAACGATTTCAACTATTTGCCATACGTGGAACCAATTTGGCCAATAAAGCAGCAAGTCAGAAACTAGAATGACCAAACAACATAATAAACGACCCACACAGTCAAACAGATTGCAAGAAACTGACCTGCACAAGCAGCATGCAATGAAGTGATTTGACCAAAGGAACAGCATGTGAAAATACTGACCTGCTCAATGGTATTAAAGAGAATGCCGTTGCCATTACAGACAGCTTTGGGTAAAAATGAACACACTCATGAGTTCAGTAAAAACACTGTAAAAAACTTGTTTTTTTTACTCCATTAATTGTTATTAAAATATCCAATTTACGTTTTAGGTGCAGCTCACAAAGCGAGCTGACCCAGTGGAGCTCAAAGCCGTCTTCACAAAGGTAATGTTGCACCTTTCAAAAAATAATCGTCATTTTTAAAGTTGCTTCTGTCTCCTCTACCCCCCCCCCCTCCCCAACAATTTGATGCCAAACGTGCCATCGGTGTTATGTCATGAGACGAAGTATCCATTCGGACCTCTTCGCAGAGCATTGCAACCCGTCGCGTTCGAGAATTGCCCACAAAAGCAGAAATCACAAAGCTACCTCGATAATGTGCGATGTTGCGTATGCAAGATGGTTATTATGGAACAGTCTGCAACCAAATGCTGGATTTGGTAACGTTAATTCGCAATCCGAGTGGTGTTCACAAGTGGCATTTTAGTACTTGGTAAACTGCATAGTTTACACGGTGTTGTTTTCGGGCAACGTTTGCTATTCAATCTACGCGCCACATGCTCATCTGTTTTTAATACGTTCTTTTGCTTGGTGATGTCATGAAAAGGCTAGTCGTGCCATACATAGTTCTCGTCACCAGTCCGCGCACATTGTGTTTGGGTGTCAATGTGGTTTTCAATCACATTTGAAGGGAAAGAAGCTAAATCAAAAGCAGCAATGGGCAAAAATATAGTTGTTTTATGTCAAAAGGTAATTCATCACGAAATTCCCATGCCCTGTATTACAACGAACATTTCAAATTTGACGATGTTCTCAAATAATGGTTTTGAAAATGCCGACCGTCATCGATTACATTATTTAGCTAAAAACAAGTCTAAAGGTTACATCTGTTTAGCTTATGTATGTAATAGCTTTTCTTTTTTTAAGTCCTTCAGCATACGCAGGTATGTGTAAGAATAATAATTCCCTTTATTTATCGAGGAAGGGCTTAATGAGTCTCAGGACTTTATCAGAAGAGTTCTGAATTTTGATATTTTGCCAATTCTATTAATGAGTATTTGGCATGTCAGAAGAAAGCGGAGCACCTGGAGAAAACTTCACATTCAAAGGGCTTAAGCTCTAAATTCCACACAGGTAGATTCAATAGTCCATTGCTATACAACGGTGGCCACTAGGCCAAACCTGTGACATGATATTCCCTGATATTCCCCTCCCAAGTTCCAACCATGTTCAACCATGCTTGGCTTCTGAGATCTGACTAGACCGGGCACATTCAGGGTGATTTATTTAGCCGCTGACATAAATCACCAAACACCAGGCATCTTCAACAAATGCCTGAGCATCTTTTATTAGTTTTTTTATATCTACCTAACTTTTACTGAAAGAACCAGAGAGTATCTTTGGGCACTCAACATCCCCATGCCGCTCATCTCAGCAGCAGTTATTTCAGGTGTGCAGATGCGAGCGCGGTGATTTGAGCTTTTGTTGACTCGCAGTACTCGACGGCGCACAAAGATGGGGAACATTACATGACCCCCGAGGATTTTGTACAGCGATATCTGGGCCTCCACAACGAGCACAACTACAACCCACTTACCGTGCGCACGCTGGCCAGCATCGCCGACACCACCAAGGATGGGTGAGTCATCTCTTTTATATCCTCTCAACGGCAAAGGCTGCACCTGAAGTCCTGGCAGCTGCTTGATGGGCGTCCACAGCACTGAGCCAAACTCATGTGGAGTTTACGTGTGCCTTCTGCAGCTGCCTGGTTATTTTCTTGCGTTTTTTTGTGATCTATCTATCTATCATGTGCAGCCAGCTGTAAATGTAGACATTTAATGGCTTGTGGCATCATATTTGAAGAGCAGGTCATTCTATGCTGGATTACAGCTCAGAATTTTGCAGTTAATTACCTGTCACTTTAGTATAGTATAGCAAATAAGTGAAATGCATTCGAGACAACGTCGAACAAGGAGATGGAGTGATGAAATCGGTTAATGTGAAAGTTCTGGGTGAGTTATTGCATTTCAGGATCGTGATAGTTTTCTGCAGCTTGGGGATTCATTTACCCAGCAGTGGGTTTGCCTTATCTCATGATAATGATGAACTATAAATTTAATAAAAACAAATACTCTGAAACTGAGTATAGAGCTGTGGTATAGTGGTTACTGCACACTGCATTATGAACCCCATGATCGGAGTTCGATTCCCGGCCACAGCTAATATCAGTGACGAGTGGGATCTAAAGTTGTCTTGGGTCTTCCCCTCTGACAACCCATATGGCCAACAAGGCATCATGAGGGCTTCCGCACACGATTAACAAAGGGTCGTAAATTCCAATTACATTGTTTGGCTACAGTAATGAGTAAACGTGCTACCTACATTGATGAACGTTGGGTAAGTATGTGCTTACGCATGTTTGTCTTTTGATGAGGAAACAATACTGCGAGTTGCCTTAATGAAATCTTCTTAAGTGTTTGCTGTTCTTTATTCAGCAGTAGCTTGATAATGGGCTGTACATTTTAATAATGAAGTAAATATAAAATCATACCCTATCTGCACATAAAAAAAAAACTTTCCTAGTTCCCGCTTAAGGTATGCAGGAGGTAATGGGTTGGATCCCAAACCTGACGCCTTTATATTTGGAGTTTGCATGTTCTCCCCGTGGTCGCATGTATTTTTCTCTGGGTCCTCGCGTTTTTCTTCCACGTTAAAAAAAACATGCGTTTATACAGTATTTGGCTGCTGTAATTTCAACGTGATAAGCAACTTCTTTGGGCTATCATTTGTGGCTAGGTTGCTTCTGAAAAAGAGCTATATAGCTCAGTGGGCCTTACCTGGTAAAATTAAAAATAGTTTTGTTTAGTTTAGGATCTCAATCGGCTTATGTGGTGACAAAAGGACACCAAAATGAAGGAAGGACAAGATCAATGGGCTCGCATAATGTACGTTAATCCCCCCCCCCCCTCAAGAAGAGCGCACAAGTGTCGTCACCACATCTACGCCTCTATATAAGGAACGAAACAGGTCGACTTCTCCACATCTTTCTGTAGCCTGATGAAGCTAGTTGTAATTACTGGCGAAACGTCGTACTCAGATTGTAAATGTTGTGGCTTGGCCCTCCAACACACCGGTGTGCTGTACTAGTGATAAATTGGCACGTTCTGTTTACGTGACAACCCTTACTAGTTGGCTGTGTCGGATGGTGGCGGGTTTAACGACACATTTATATATTTATGCGATCGAACCAAAAAAAAACCTCTTATGGATGATAGCCTTACGTGTTGAAATGAATGTCTTGTTTAACTCTATGTCTACCCGACACAGGCTGGCTGGGTAGATTGGATCTTGCAAGTGTGTGTGTTCACGGTTGTGCTGTTTGTGTTTCCCCGTCCAGGCTGATCTCGTTTCAGGAGTTTTCGGCCTTCGAGTCGGTGTTGTGTGCCCCCGATGCTCTGTTCATTGTGGCCTTCCAGCTCTTTGACAAGGAGGGCAAGGGAGAGGTCACCTTCGGTAAGCCGTGGTTTAAAGCCAAATCGCGATGGCTGACAGATATTGGTAAGACTATATCGCTGAAAAGCAGATGAAATTCCTCAGCGTTTCGAAATGCAGGGCTTCGATCTGATACGCGTGTATGTCTCCCGGTATCTTTATTTTTTTTCCCTCCCCTTTTTATAGCGGAAAATACTTTTTTTGTTCTGCATGCGTAAGCGCACAATTGCGTGGAAAAGGCAACGCCTGGAAAGACAAACTGTGTTAACCTCTGTAATAGCACAACGCAAAGGTTAGGTACAACTGAACACGAAACTCCATCTGGCAGCAAGGGCTGCACGGTAGGAATCCACTGCTGACCGCATGGCCCCCTTCCAGACTTTTCAGACACGCTGACCGTTTGAAGTTCTATCCTTTTTTTCCTGCTACCGAGAAGAGATTGGGAATATTAATCGGATTGACATGTTTGACACGTCAATTTCCCCGTTTCCGCCGAGAGTAATTTCTCCATTAGAATTGGTGCTGCTGAGGATGGAAGGAGGTGGGGGTCGGGGAGAGGTGGGGGGGGAGTGTGAGAAGTTTGTGGTGTGGTGGGAAGGGGTTTGCAGGCATGGCGAGGGCGGCGGTAAACATGATCTCCCCCCCCTCACGTATTCGCGTTTGCCCTTGTCTCCCCGACACGTCAAATCCGATTACGCAGGACCCCTCTCTCTCGCTTTGCTTCCTGCGCCGCTTTGATTCTGGAGCGTGTAAAAAAAAACATGAGCACGGAGTCCATTATGATGGGGACAGGTCAGACAGCTTCTGATGGTCTCAAATCCCTAATCACTGTGTTTACAGTCCGGTCTCCTAGACTTTACCATCCTGTGCATGAGGCTTTGGGCACCATGTGTGTGTAGGGCCGTGTGTGTGTGTGTGTGTTACTGTGCATACCTGAGCTGACTTGGCTTCTCCCAGCCGATATTTAGACTCTCAGGTAAACTTAACCTTGCTTAAGGAGCTTTGCGGCTGGTTGATTTTATAAAACCTCCTGATTTTTATAGTTTTCTTTATTATGACAAATAGAGCCCTTGAAATGCATATGCACCTCATTGAGATTACGTATGTCACACTTCTCAAGCTGAAATGTACAACGTGGAGAAATCCAATGTAGTAAAAACAGTGCCCCACTGGTCTCATGCTCGTACAAACATGGGACCATGCTCATCTCCCGTTTGCAACCCTCTGAGCCAGTGGTGGAAATTCTACATTGCTATGGCAGGGTTAAATATTTATATGCTATCCACTGGCATGTTAAAAAAAGTGCCCATTCATTTATCTTGATGACTATGTTTGTTAGCACGCTCTACTCGTAACCCCCGCAACGTTGAACCAAAGTACCTCACCTTGGGTCATCGCGAGATCCCCGAGTCGGGAGTAAGTCAGCGGATCGAGCGCAAGTTGTGCGACCAACGATTCACCGTAAATCTGCGAGGAAATCAGTCACTCTGGATGCAGTCATGCCGCTCAGCTTTGGCATTGCAAAAATCGTGGCTGGCTTGCGGTGCATAATAATAATAATACTTTCATTTTATATAGCATCATTAATGCAAATAGCATCCCATAACTCTGTACATTAATTATATATAAGAACCAAATCCCAAATATAGAGCCACTACCAAGCACATGAAAAACCCTCCTGCCAAGAAAAAATATAAATTGAACAAACAAATTAAGAAATGGCACCAAAACCAAAAAGCACAATCAACAAAAAGTGCTCGACAACAAACGGCAACAACAACAACAACAGGAAAAACATCCCGGCGCCTACCACGCTTTCGTGGCGGTGGCTGAGCAAGAGTGACGTCGAGGAGCCCTTTTGTGTTTGTCCCTTGGCAGAGGGCGTGAAGGCGGTTTTCAGCCAGACTACGATCCACCAGCACATCCCTTTCAACTGGGACTGCGACTTCATACGCCTGCACTTTGGGCACACACGCGACAAGCGGCTCACCTACGCCGAGTTCACACAGTTCCTGCAGGTGAAACGCGCCTTCCGCATACGCAATCTCAACGTTTTGCCGTTTGTGCGTTCGTACGCAATTTGCGATTCAAAATTCTGGATTTATATGTCGAAATGCAACCGCGTCTCAATACGCTGTGTAAATGAACAGCACACATTTCTTTTGTAACAGTAGAGGCAGTCAGTCAGAGGTCAAGGTGAAATGGAAGGTTTCGTGAGCCTAAACTTAAACTGCATTGGACGGCCAGGGAAAGTGAGTTTCAGAAAGTGAGTTTCAGAAAGTGAGTTTCAGACCATGGGTGCAGCAGAGGAGAATGAGCAGTCATACAATAGTGTGCGCTGAGATTCGATATTTGGTTCAAATGTTCTGTTCAGTGCAAAATCAACATAAAATGATTATCGTCACAATCTCAATGCAGGCATTAACCCTTTTTAATGCTTGTGGGCTGGCTTGGATTACTGTACATTTACATTTACACCGATGTCTTTATGCGATAATAGTCATTTAAAAGATTTGCAAACATGAATTATCTATATGAAAAAATAAGAATAGTTTTTACCCTTTAGGGTTTACCCGTTTTTCACACTTTGATACTGGCAAAACGGTCCCATTATGAATTGGCTATTCCTGCGTTTGAGGCCTGGTTCCTGATTCACATGTTGGCAAATGTTTCAGTCTGATTTTAGGTGAAAACTTCACCAATGTGTCAGTAACCAACAATGCCGGGAATTGCAAAGCCCTATTGGGCATTTCAACAACATTGCATATATGGCCAGATACACTTTCTTTGTCACGTTATTCAGATGATGTGTAAATGATATGTCCTTTAGAAATGTAGCACTTATTTATTAACCAGGTGGCGAGTGATATCTGAACCGGTCCTGAGCGCCCCCACCCCTTTGCCGACCCGCGCTGACCAACGCGGTGAAGTATGGTTCTACGACTCCCATAACCGACATGTCACGTGGAAAGTCTTTAATCGAGCACTGGATTGACAAAGGAGCCGCGAATTATAATAACTTGATTTAGCCACGGTCATTACTACATACGCTACACATGCATACTGCATTGTCAAACGTTCACTGCAGTTGAGCGAATGCGTGCAGAGATGTGCATGACTCGACTGGAGAACATTACTTGCCAGGTGCCTTTATTGTAGCATGCTTAACAGCTCAGCTGCTTACAGGCAAAACGCAAGAATAATTTGAGATGAGGCAAAGCTTTTCTGGGGCACTCCCTGGCCAGTAGCTTTACAGCGCTGGTGCAATCTGGCTAAAGCCAATGTTTCCCCCCAAGTTTTTTCCGGAGGTGTCACAGTGAGCCTTTCAGTCCCCCGTTAAAGCCCAAATTGCTGCTGCTGCTTGACACTGAAATGTGACACTGCCGAGAGAGCAGGTTCTGGAGTACACGGGAAAGGAATTTGGTTTTAAATTACACTGTGGTTGAAGGAGGAAACCACATTCGGGGCCGCAGAAACAACAAAAAAAACCCAGTAGTTACAAACTTCATTGTGACAGGCTGTCAGCCCAATTCTAGTGGCTCAATGTGCAGCACATACACCCGGCGTTTGGGTAGTGGGGTTGCATTGTAATTTGTTTGCATTCGGGAATGCCAACAGGCAAACAAGGAGTCGGCAACAATGACACGTTACGGCCTGTCCCTTGAGCTTTGTCTCCACAACCACATTTCGAAAGCCCTCATGCTGATTAAGCAAGGACTTGCCAGAGGGGTTGCATTTTAATAAATGAGTTAAGCATCATTTTTAAAGTCTTTGACTAGAGTTACCCTCCGTGTATCCCACAGGTCATATACTTCCCAAAAAAATATTTTTTATGTCAACATATCACACACTTTATCATATGTAAGGCTCATTTAAAAATATCCGCTCCTCTACAACATTTGCAAAAATTGCGTGCACTTTACTTCCCTCATTCTCTTCACTCGGCTGTTGGTTGTTGAGGATATTCTCCCAGTCTTAGTTCTGTTTATGAATGTGTATTTTCTCGTGTGTTTTCAATAGTGGATTGCAAAAAGTAAATTTTGAAAAGAAATGTATCGGTTTGCCACACGTTTACCTAACAATGAAAATAAACTTCCAACCCCGTGTGCGTGTCTGTGGCTTTTTGTGCGTACCAGCCGGTGACCGATGAGCCCGCCACTAGTGCCTTATGGTGGCAGCCGCTTAACCAACCAATCGAATGCGCCATGCGTCCCGCACGTTTGCACCTGCCAATTGGTTCAGCCGCTGCTGTCATTTAACCGGAGTCGATTATCGGTGCCGTGACTCTTACAATCGACAATCGAGCTTTTGGAAACATACATAGTTGTAATGGGACTATTTTCCTGCACCTCAGATAAGCACGGTGCGAAAGAAATTCAACATGCAGTACATGCATACATTTCCTTTCTCAATGCGTAGCCCAAGCTGTTGGCTGTGAGTGCGCATTCGATGGGTTTGCTGTCCACCGTCGCGCGCGTGACCTTGTACCCGTTGCGCCTCTCCCCTGGCAGGAGCTTCAGCTGGAGCATGCACGGCAAGCTTTCGCACTTAAGGACTCCAACAAGAGCGGCACCATCCCCGCGCTGGACTTTAATGACATCATGCTGACGATCCGCCCGCACATGCTGTCTCCCTTTGTGGAGGAGAACCTCGTGTCGGTGAGTGTCCCCTTCTCGGGCACCCTCTTCAAACACACACAACACATGACTCAACCGGCGCAGTAATCCCAGTGCATGTGTTACTCCGATTAATGCGGTTTGGCTACGTACAGTGCGAAAGAAGTTCAAAATACATCCTCACTCGCCCTGTTGTTTGGTTTCACTTGATGGTTGTGTTTAATAGTTTTTTTACTGCAATTTATGCTGCTTGTTTCACTCTTTCGTCTGGAGCTGCTTCTGTTTCTCTCGCAATGGCAAAAGTAGAATGTGCGCTCATGGTTTCGATACAACGACGTGAGAAGAGGCTTGCGATCGAGCTGCAAGACCAAGTAATCGGGGGGGAGGTTAAAACATTTTGGCAAGGACATGTTTGTTATTTGTAGACACATGGACTCATGTCACAATATTTGCTAAGTGCAGTAGCCCTTAACATCACTGCATATACAGTATATATATAGTTTATTAATGAACAATGAAAGCACTTTGGTGTGTCACCGTTTGTCTCAATCTCATCAAACAAAATCCTTCGATCTAAATCTGTCGTATGTTCTACCCACTACATGTTCAGCCATTCCGTGCACCCCACCCTCTCCCCCCCCCCCCCCCCGCATCTGATGCCATCCACGTCGCTACTGATCTGTGCGAATGCCCGTTGCCACGGCAGGCTGCTGGCGGCGCGACTTCCCACCAAGTGAGCTTCTCCTACTTCAACGCCTTCAACGCTCTGCTCAACAACATGGAGCTCTTCCGCAAAATCTACAGCACATTGGCTGGCTCGCGCAAGGACGTCCAGGTCACCAGAGGTACCCGCCCGCGCAACGCTTCATCGTCCCCCCCCCCCCCCCCCTCATTTAGGGGTCACCTCGTTCTGCGTTGTTAACTCGATGAATTGGATTACTTTCATTGTGGAATGACGTGCCATTAATTTTTTGGGGGGAAATGTGCAGACCCATTGCCTTTTCGATGATACCTGTGGCAGGGCTGTGGCCGTTTAATTGTGGTGAATGTCCGGTGTGACTGCAGAGGAGTTTGTGCTGGCCGCCCAGAAGTTTGGCCAGGTGACTCCGATGGAGGTGGATATTCTCTTCCAGCTGGCTGACCTCTATGAGCCAAGAGGGTACGTGGCCCCGCAACTCTTACAGATGTCACATTTTTGCATTCTCACTCCTAGGTAATGACTTCACAAACTATGCCTCAACGATGCTCACCCTTTCTTCATTAACACAACTTGCTCGTCAGCTTTGTTGGTTCAGTGGGGTTTTTATAAAATTCCAATCAGATTGTTCAAGAAACTATAAAACTTGAAATATTTGTATTTTACCAGATTAAGGCCCACTGAACTATACAGCTCTTTTTCAGAAGCGACCTGGCTACAAATGACAGCTCAACAAACTGGCTTATCACGTGGAAATGTATTGCAGCTAAATACTCTAAATACATTTTTCTAAATGTCAAAGGAAAAACTGGAGGATCCGGATAAAAATCCATGCGACCACGGGGAGAACACTAAGCTCCACATATATATAGGCGTCAGGGTTAGGATCGAGCCCACGGCTTCCTGTGTATCAGGCGTGGTAGTTACCATCTCACCACCGCGACGCCCTAGTGTGTATGACCAGTATGGCTAAATTACCCCCACAACTGACATGGCATGGGGGGAATATGCAGCAGTGGACTGGAAAAGGGCTCTACATGTATATACATGTGAGCAGGTTGCACCTAAATCCACATTTGCAGTGCACCTTTTTACCGATTCTTGACGCACTGCGGTATGCTCTGGTCTTGCAGTCGTGTGATCATGACCGACATCGAGAGGATAGCTCCACTGGAAGAGGGCTCGCTTCCCTATAACTTGGCTGAGGCACAGAAACAGGTGAGCAGTCGACAGTTAGCTGGCCTTTTCACTCTGCTGGCCACCACCAACTGGTTTTGTGATCACAACTGGGTTCATGCCTTACCATTTCAGAGCCCCATCTTGAAATGTTGCTTCCCATTCTTTGCAAAGTAACAATCTTGTTTCGCGTTACACGTACAGTTTAAACCTGTCATTGCTGCTATATCATAATTGCATAAATGTGCTTGGTGAAATTATTTGTCAAACCCAATATTGAGGTCACTGCATGGCGACTGTGTCAATTCACAAAATTGCCTGCATTATGTAATAACACTTGTGAGTGCTGCATGACCTTTTGATTAATGCATGACAACTGCCAAAAAATGTAGAGAAAAATATTAACACTGAGCACGAGATATTGTTCATATTGTGATGACGATTCATCCCCAAAATGAAACGTTACATATTCTAAAGTTCAGCTCACTTGGCGGTTGAGGGAGCGATGAAATGTGCAACGTTGGCAGCACCAAAGGTGTGGTGCAGGTAGACGTGACCGGTTCTGGGCAGCCTGAGATTAGCATTCCTGGCCACGCTTCCTGAGAGCTAATTGACCCCGGCTGGTTGGCTATTACCCAGAGGTCACTGAGCCCAAGAGGAGGTTTTAAAAGAGACTCGTGTCCAGTACAAGCACCCACTCATTGTACGTGGCTTTCACTGCCTGGGTGATTTGACGCATTACTCGCCTTCATTGGTTCAAGTAGTCCACGACAAGAGGGTGTAAGAATGGACCTTTGCCGCCTTAATGGATAAACATAAAGTTAAAACACTTAATTTATATAACACGATTGTGTAGTTAAATTCAAATGAGCAAAATCTAAAATGTCATCTCATAATTGTCTAATTTTAGACTTGTTCAAAACATCAAAAGCAACATCTGAAATGTTATCATTTGTGAATAAAGCCACTAGCTTTTATCTACGGGGTGGAGCAGTGGCGCAGTGGTTAGTGCACTGCGGTATACATCCGGACATCTGCCCGTGTCGAACATTAGTGGCGAGTTATGTCTGAACCAGTCATGGGCGCCCATCCACCACCTCTTCACCAAACTTCACTGACGAATGTGGTGAAGTATGATCCAATGACCCCCACGACTGAGACACTGTGGGGAGACCTGCATCCACCACTGGATTAGCGAATGGCTGCAAATTATTCAAGGCCTTGTGATTCCCAGGTCTCCCTTATTAATAAAAATATCCCGTCTCTTGAGTTCTCAACTGGTTTAACAAATCAAACGTTTAATTATTTTATTTAGCCACCCTTTTACTAACTTTAAGCCATGTATTAGTTCTGCCATGCCATTTTCATTGATTTGTTTGTGGTTGTGGAGTATATAACATGAAGCAAAAATATATTTGCAAAGTTAAGTACTTCTGTGTGTATATTAATCCTGTACAGTGGCATGGATGCATTTCAATCCATTAGTTATGTTTGTGGATTACGTTTATCCTGTAGCACAAGGAATGATTTAGATTTTTTTTGTTGCACAAAGACTTTATTATAATATTGCTACATTGAAAGCACTGCCAGTGAAAAAGTTTTAATGGCTTAAGTGCCAGCTTAAGTGTGTATACATCAGAAAACCCTGCTCATTAGGTGTGGCTTAAAAGCCTCTTTTTTCCATTCGGAGAAGATTGCAACAAATCTTCCGCGGTTGCCCAGCTTTGCGAGACCTGCGCGACAAGCGGCCGCAGTCTTGTTTACTATTGTGGGTGTGTGTCCGTCTGCCGGTTCCTGCATACCTCTTGGTATGCAGGAACCGTGTGCCTGTGTTCCCACACTAAAAATCTCAAGACCGTTTGAACTCCCCCCTTTTGTTTTATTTTTAATGTCTGACGTCCAGTCTCCCCTCCCCCCGCGGGGGAGCTAGCCGGATTACAGAGCGCACAGCAGAGGCGCTTACCTGCCCCATCTCCCCACCTCCTTAGCCCCCAGTTCTCAGGGAACAGGTGTGCGCGCCATCCCCGTGTCTAATCCCGGGCGCTTGCTGGGATTTTCTCGCTCGATAAAGCATTACCAGGGGGCTGTGTTAACTCGGTTAGAATAAAGAGCGCAGCGGGGTCATAAAGACTGTGCCCGCCAGCTACAGGCTCCTCCCTGCATTCCCGCAGCGCTAGGCTCAGCTCAGCACGCGTCCTTGTCGCTGCATGGAATTTCTTGCATGAGTCATCAGGGACACTCCATGCATCACTGCCACCACTGTCAACATTCAAAGGGGCGCCCATTTAAATGTAATTACTATAATTTGCTGTTTTTCATGGGGGTTGTTTGACCATACTTCACCCTATTCTGGTCAATGCAGGTTGGTTAAGTGGCGGGGGGCCCAGGACGGGTCCGGAGATTGCTCGCCACTCATGTTAGCCTTGACTGGGAATCTAATTCAGGTTGCCGGCTTTGGAGCGCAGTGCACCCACGTAAAATAAATACCAGGCGAAGTGAATTAAAATGATTAAATTAGAAAAATTATTGTTGACCCGTTTAACCAATTAACATTTTGATCAATTGCCCTGAATTAAACTGCATGAGCCCTTATAAAGGACTTAAAAATGGACTGATCGTTGTAACAAGAGTGGACTATCTTCTTTGGTTCTTTCGGTAAAGTCACGTAGAATGAGAATAAAATAATAAATTGATAAAATAAAATAACACAATAATATTCTCACGACGTTTCGGCCACAACACAAGCGGCCTTCATCAGGTGAAGGGAGCGAGACTGTCTGGTAGGACAGCGCTGGAGTGTTGTGGCCGAAACGTCGTGAGAATATTGTGTTATTTTATTTTATCAATTTATTATTTGATTCTCATTCTACGTGACTTTACCGAAAGAACCAAAGAAGATGAATCATTGCAGTCACGAAAGCTTTAAATCGAAAAGAGTGGACTATATATGTTATTATATTTGTTTTGCTGTCCACAATTTGCAAACGTATAAAATTGGCTATGTTCAGATAAGTCGCATGCAGATGTGTTGTGCCGCTTTTTGATCTGCGTTTGGTGTTTGTGCAACACCACAAACGCACCTCCAATTAGCACGGTTGGCTACGTACGGTGTGAAAGAAGTTCTACATACAACAGCAGCATCAGTTGCAGCAGCCTTACCATGTAATGGCGGCGCTGACGCTGCTGCTGCAACATTCATTCAACAGTCATCATTCTCCTTACGCCTTCTCAGTTGCATATGATGCAGGTTTCACCATTTGAACCTGGATTTCAGTTAAATCCTTTGATGCATTCCTGTTCTAAAGCTTTCCTGGCCATCTCTTGGAGAATGCTGTGTTTTGATGGCTCATTTTTTGTTTTCAATGCGTCCAGGCAATGTTTCTGTTGGCCTATGCTGACCTGTTTCTACCTTGTTGTGCCGTGTTCCCAGCATGCACCAGACAAGTCGAGACCCATCCTGCTCCAGGTGGCCGAATCCGCTTACAGATTTTCCCTGGGCTCAGTCGCTGGAGGTACGAGTTGACACCAAGAGTCTTATTTGTACAATTTCAATTATTTCCATGTTTTAGATTTCGAAAGACATAAAAAAAATAGGCCATGTACATTCCAAATAAAGGATTATGTCGGAATATTCACCAACAATGTGGTCGCGCCCGTTGTTAACTCACTGCGCTGTGAACCTGGTGACGTGACTTTGATTGTCAACCACGGCTAACGTCAGTGACAAGTTACATCTTAACCGGTCTTCGCCTCAATCCCCCTTTCACTGACCCACACCGACTAGTGTGTGAAGTATTTTCAAATAACTCCCAGTGCGAGAAGGCCTTCGACTTGCAGTAAATCGACAAACGGCTGACAATTTTTTGTTTAGTTTACTGTCGTTTCTATTTACGGTAGAATTTTGTGCAACCAGCGCACCAATGTTTGTATGGCTTGGCAGCACCCACAACCATAACTACGAACTAGCTATCTTCCACGAACTCCGACCGGCAGTGTTGACAACAAGTTTCTCCTGCCGGCTACTACCGATGTCATGCCTTTGCTTGTTGCAGCCTTCATATACATTTTACTTATTTAATGATAAAATATACCAATGTCACAATCACATCTCCATTGCTTCGTGCATTGATTTCTTGAGTCGCTGCGAGACGTGTTTTAAACAATTAATAAGCTGTACACTACCGATCACAGATTCGGAACATTTCTGTATCCAACAATTCACTACACAAAGATAACATCTGATCTCTTAGTCAAATATTCTATTTTTGCAAAGGTCGCGCATGTGTTCATTCAATCCCTGCCATCGGGTAAGTTTTACATGTAAACCTGACCCCATAATATCCAGATGGTACACATTGGCAAGCGTGCTTCAGCAGCGCATATGAATCCATACATTGTTTCCTCTGTGCTTTACCAGTCCAACTCATAACATCCCCATCGTAACATTTCATTAATTTGATGTTGGCCAAACATCGCGCGCAGGACCCTCCTGAATAAGAGCCTTTGGCCCCGGTGTGGCTTTAATAAGTTATTGTTGTATCTCACAAACTAGTTGGCTAACTAATTAGCACCAGTAGTTTTTGAATCAATTAATATTGTGCCACATCTATACCTGTTTTATCAAGTAATAACTATTATTATATATCGTGTGTACAAACAGCACAGCCATTATATTTCAGTTGGTTCACGATGGGGTGCTTTTTTTTATAACCCCCGTCGCGTGTTAGGAAGGCTTGGACCTCCGTGCTCTGTGTACTCGTTTGCGCCCGCGGCCACGCATGTGCGTGTGTGGCAAGTATTTTGAGTTTTTTCATTGCGTCTGTCAGTATGCATCTCCCGTGCTTGGCTCCAGTCTGTCTTGGCCTGCAGAACCACAATAAGGCCATACAGTCGACCCTCTATGCAGACTCCCACTGCCTTCCAAAGACCCTTTGTGTCTCGCCATGTATTCAGAGCCATGCTAGTCACTTAGAGTGCACTGGGTAGTTTTGTACGCTGTGAATATGTCCCTGTGGGTCAAGTTACTGATGTCTTTCCTAGGTTTTCTTTTATTTCCCCAATGGTAATATTGTTGTGCAAGTCTTAATATTACACTGTAATTTCCCCCCCCCACCCCTTACCAATACAATATTCAGTCTGGTTACATTTCTGCCAATAAGTGAAAAATCTGAGTCACCAGGAGCAGCTCCTATTGTTATTTTGTCATCTTAGAGCTTGTGGAGCCATTTAAAAAGTTTTAAAAAAACCCTTGAAATCTATCATGATATTGGCGTAAACACATGAAGCTAACAACATACGTAATATTGTTTTGCTCGTAAAAAACGTTTTTAACAGCGTAGCAAGAGTTTGCCGGATCTCTTACATTTATTATGGTGATTTTATCTCCCGGCGTGGCAGTGGAAACAGAGCATGCTTTTTGTAAATTCCCCCCCCCCCCCACCCACCTCTGTCCACTCAGCAGTACGAATGGGTACATCACCATTAGTCAATCGACAGGTTGCATGTGGAGGAGCAGAGCGCGGGTACTCCCACCTCTTTCTGGCCAGCTTGGAAGAGTAGGCCAAAACACCCACTCGAGGGAACTGTCTGTAACGCCCTCTAGCGGGGAGGCCCTTCCGACAACAGTGGAGTGAGCGAACAAATGCAGGGGCTGCACCTTGCATTCACGCGTCATCTCCTCTTTGTGCCCATGCACTCCTCTTGTCCCGCCAGTGTCGCCCCTTCTCCACCTCTTCTCTGCTCTCTAACCCCCCGTGCCTTGTTTTTCTCACAACACGTCTTGCCCCCCTCCCCTCCCCTCCCTTCCCCCCACTTGATCGTACCCTCGTACCCCTCCCCTCGGTCCTGGCGATGCCTCGCGGCGGTGCGGCATCGCGCCCCAGCTGTGGGCGCCACGGCGGTGTACCCCATCGACCTGGTGAAGACGCGCATGCAGAACCAGCGTTCGTCGGGCTCCTTCGTGGGCGAGCTCATGTACAAGAACAGCTTCGACTGCTTCAAGAAGGTCGTGCGCTACGAGAGCGTCTTCGGCCTCTACCGCGGTGAGCAGCAGCCCCCCAATCCCCCCCCCCCCCCGCGCCAATCCCCCCCCACCACCGCCGCCGCCCCCTTGCCCATCCGCCTCGCAACGCAGCCCTGCGTGTGCCGCGCGCCCGCTACAATTCCACGCAACCCATCCTCTGATGCACGGGTGACCCACGCGCTCGTGCAAATGAGACCTTGAATTGGCACGGTTGGCTACTTTCGCTGCGAAATAGGTTTAGCGTACACACGTATGTACGATCCTGGTCTCTTTTGAATTGTCGCTGGCACTTGGTTGAACACAATCAACTTGAATGCGGAGCCCTTTTGTAAATGCACTGCTGGATTGAGGGCCTCCCACCCACGCCGTGTGGGTCGTGAGGGTTGTTTGAGCGTGCTTAACCACGCGGATCCATGTGGGTTGTGCAGTCGCTGAGCATGAATTTGGAAGCTCGTAAGTACAGTACAATGGATGGATTTTTTCTCTCTTCTGTGCTTTGGTGCCCACCACGTAGCCCGCACGCCCTACGATAACCTGTTTGTGAATGGTGGTCACCCATAACCAGCACTGTCCAGGCCCAACTCTTCCTTGGCTCCTGAGATCTGATGAGGTTGGGTGCATTCCGGGTGACTTGGCTAGAGTTATAGATTCGGTCACCAAATTGCGCATCGGATTGAAATGAATCAAAAGCTCCCCGTGATTTGTGTAAGCTTTGCGTATTTTTCAGCATGCGGGTAGAAGGTGAGGAGAGGCAGGAAGGAATGAGAGAGAGAGAGAGAAGTAGCCAAACCCCAAATGCATCTTACACTTGGCTTCCCCACATCCCCCACCTTCTGTTTCTGCCTCACTCTGGGAATATACACTCAGCAAAGCTTGGCACAGAGAAGCACGCTATAAATGCTTCATCTTGTATCCCTTGGCCAAACGCCTGTGTGTGTGGGTGTGGGGTGGGGGGGTAGTGAGAGGAGAAGGATTGGGGGGAGGTGGGCGAGTCGAAGTTTATGATGAAAATGTAGATGGGAGGGGGTGAGGGAGATTATAAAGAACAAAAAACCCAAAATCCCCATTTGATGATTACAGCGCCATCTACTGAATGCGACGGGGGGGGGGCGGGGGGCGCTGGGGATGGGTATCCCGCACATCCGTTGCAATCGTTATCACGTCGGGGATGGGTTACAGGTGATGGACAGGCGGGCGAGCGTCTGGGGGCCAGGCGGCATGCCTGCCACGGGTCGCCACGCACTCACCTTTGCCGTTGTGCTCCGGGTAGCCGTGACGTGGGGCAAAAAAACACCCGGGAGGAAGTCCTGAAACAGGGGGCACAAGAGGCGACTGTCTGTCCTCCCGATTCTTTTTTGCTTTTTTTACGCTCACGCGCTCGTGTCTGTGTGTGGCTGCACACGGTTTATTTACACCCACCACTCATTCACTTTCCCCCATTGCTTCCCAGCGAGCCGATCAACTGGGCAGAACCGGTTTACTTTTCCCCCCATTCAGTCCACTATACCGAAGGTGATGTTGTATGTTAGCGTTCTTCAGACTACAATCCGGTTTAATTGGTGTACAGGATTCTGGGTGGTGTTTTTTTTTTTACGCAATCCCAGGGGGACACCCTTTGCATCCGGTGTCTCGTCAAGCACGTTTCTGCTGTCAAACTTTCCCGGGCAATAGATTTGTCCCTGTTCGTACACGCGCACCTTTTGAGCACAAGAGTGTGTTTTTGCCCGTGCGTACTAAACTCCTTGGATGCCCTGTCAAACCCCAATGTTTAGTTTTCTATCGAAATGCGGGAGACGTTTACGATGAACGTTGAAAATGACCTTACAAAAAAATCACAGCAATAATGTTGAGTGTTTTCATCTGTCAATATCATAACGAAGTCCGACATGTCGACCACACACGTTAAATGACAGTGTTCCCTTGTTATTCACAAACTTGCTTTCCGTGATTTTGGCTACCTGTGAATCACAACTGGAACAACACTCCCGCATCAAGAGAGAAGAGTGATGAGAGAAAATGTGATGCGAGAAAGTAATGAGAGAAAAAGCTTATTTACGTACTTATTTAAGGTATCGATTTAAAGCTTTCGTGACTGCAGGGATTCATCTTCTTGGTTCTTTCGGTAAAGTCACTTTACCGAAAGAACCAAGAAGATTATTTGAGGTAATTAATAAAAAAAAAGGGCCGATATCATTATCCGCAAAATTTGCTGTTCACGAGCGTCTCCGGAACGCATCCCTCATCGCGAATAGCGAGGGAATACCGTTTCCATTTGCGTGTCTGTGTCATCTTTAGGTCTAATTCCTCAGTTGCTTGGCGTGGCGCCCGAAAAAGCCATCAAGCTCACTGTGAGTAACGACACTTCCCATCGCCTGGCTGTGCAAACCCTTCGCTTAGCTTCTCACACAGGCCTTTGCGTTGCCCAAGTGAGGTCTCCCGGCTCGGGCTGCATGTGTGGAGAATTTCTTGCCTCAAGATTTCTGCCATGCTTCTACTGCGAGAACCCTCGAGTGGGCGAACGTGTGCGAGGACATATATATGCTCAACACTCGCTGCATAACCCAGAAGACCACACAGGAATGTATTTGCCATGCAAAAGCAATACACATCTCACTTAAGCAAATTATGTCGCTGGGATTTTTGCCAAAAGCAACGTTCGCGTCTCGTCAAATGTCATTGGCTTTGCTCAGAGCAATAGAGAAACTGTTTTAAATTGAAATGGTATTTTATTTTAAGAATCCTGTTACAAGTGCTTTTGCAATGCAATAACTCATTAAAGGGTGTGTATGAAACAAAGCGATCGCAATTCATGGCATTCTTACACACACGTTTGTACGTACACAAATCCCCTCTTTGGCGTTGTTATCAAAACAGCTAAATACATTTCTGGTGCCATTACATTTTGAGCGTGCGAGTAACGCCAGCTCTAACGACAGCCCGTGGCCAAAACGACGGTTTAAAGGGGGGGGACACGATGTTGACCGGCGAGCGCACTCGGTGGCTGATGAATTACGCTTAGGCGAAACTGTTAAGGCAATAAGCGAACGGTCGCCTCGGCGTGTTTTCCAGGTGAACGACTTGGTGAGGGACAAATTCACGAAGAAGGACAGCTCCATCCCTTTGATCGCGGAAATCATTGCTGGAGGCTGTGTAAGTATCGGGTGTTCCTCGTTTTAACCTTCCCTTGGCCCTCCTCCTCCACCCCTGTGAGCAGGGTGGGTGCCCTGGAAACAGCAGTTTAAACAAAAGAGAGCGATTCCTGAGAGCTGGTGGGGCTGTGGGCTCCTCACCTTGTCATTTGTTTAGGCTCAGAAAATAATTCTAGCCTTGGAATTTTTGCAATGTGCCCCCCCCCCCTCCCCCATTAATTCTGTTCCAATAAAAATAAATCAAACGTAGTATCGGTGTGGTTTTTTACATCGGAAAATGTAAAACATGTTTTAGTCATCCAAAGCTTATCATTGATTTATATTGTGCATTTGCATGCGCATAGGTAATGTCCATCAACTCAGAATAAACATTGTTGTGTACATCATCTACAGTCTATTTTGTCAATTGTTCCCCATGCCACGTTGGGGTTATACTCACCGAGCTGGTCAGTGCTGACTAATGAAGGCGGGTAGCATAGAAAGTACACCACAAAATGTATTTTGCTGCACTGCCTCCTTGCTGTCCACCATGTTGCCTCACAACCACCTATGACAACCTGGCATGCATGGTGTTTGCCCATCCAAGAACTAACCAGACTAACAAGCTAGCTTTGTGTCCAAGAGCTGACAAGATCGGTCATATTCCAGGTAATTTGGTCGAAGGCAACATTGTTATAGCGTTGTTCATTTCTGCATCACAGACCTGATTTAACTCTTGATAGTCCTATTGTTCTCTCTGTGCGTGATCTCATCTCTGTCGTCCCATAGTAAATCACACCCAGGTAGAGAATGCCACAAATGCCACACTCGGGTACCCCTGTCAATGCAGCCCATCATTCAGCAGAGAATGATGGGTAAAATCTGAGAGCGAAGGCAGTGACTGAAAGGTCTTCTGACCGCAGCCGTAATCGGGTGACAGGGGGCACACCCTCTGACCTCCGGGGATGGTGGTGGGGGGGTGGTCGTGGCAGTTTGTCCAGGAGCGTACTGGAAGGTAGGGAGCAGCCAGGCAGACACTGGCTTAGCCTGCTCGGGGAGTGATCGTAGACAGGTGTTATTTTCCCAGCGGTTGGTGCCAGGGACCCTGGCTCCCTTTGTAACCTGGGGGTCCACCTGTGTGTTCAATGGGAGGTGTGGTGGACCTGTCGGGCCAAACCCCTGCCAACCTCTCTGTAGCTCTCTGCTCTTTCCTCCTCCTCCTCCTCCCCACCACCACCCATAGCCTCCGGCAGCCGTCGTGTCTGTGTGTGCATGCCCCTGGAATCTGGTCACCTGTCATCACCTGCTGATGTAAGGTGGATGGAATGGCAGAGGCAGCTCGAAGCCTCCAGGCAATGCAGGGCGGGGAGGGGGGGGGGCTTTTCTCTAACTAATTGATGATGTGATGAGCTTGTCACTGGGTTTAATTTTTAATTAAGCGTGAGGGTATTGGGCTGGTTAAAGCAACTTTGCCGCCTGTCCCCAAAAATGTACCCCTTTGTCGTTTCACAGCGTGGGCTCGTGAAGAGGGACATTGTACGCCCCGGTGTGGAGCAGGGGCTAAGAGGGGGTTATCATATTTCACATGAACTCTAAATCGTTCCTCAACATAATGTTGTCGGTGGATTTTAACCTTTAAATGAACTTTGCTTCGTGTGTTGATTAAATAAAACTGTTCCCTTCATTTAAACAAAAAAAACCATAGTGATGCATTTATAAATTAAACATCGTGGAGAAAAAAATGCTAGTTCTGAAAATATAATTAGTAGAGAATCCTGCAAAAGCATGAATACATTCCTTGCCTTAAAAGCAATAAAGCAGGCCTGTCTAAAACCTCTCACTTCCATTTTTTTCTTAACAGTTTAGGACTGACAACTAATTTGTAATTACATGGGATTAAATTGCATATCATTGTTTAACAGTTAAACCTCACAGGGCCCCGATTCACATGCCCGTTAAAAAGGTTGTTTGTTTCTAACGCTACGTGAAGCGAAAAAAACGGTCAAATCCTTGTTGCCGATTTTGTTTATTTCTACGGTAAATATTCACAAAATCTGTCTTCCTCCGGCATGTGCCTTTGGCCCACAGTCTGGCATTGGCAGCGTATGAATGTGTACAGGCAGGGGTGCTTGCCGAGCGATTCGCTGAAGGGTTCACCCACGATTTGAGCTTGTGATTGTATTCGACGGTCAATTTCACTTGTGATGTTTTCCGTTTGTCCCGTCTCTCTTTTTTACAGTCCCGTTTTGTGGCATTAGCCGAAACGTACCTGCAACTTTTACAGCATTGTCAGTCCGATGCTGGGTGAATGCCCTCCCCTCCACCACACCGTGTCGTTCAAGGGGGTTGTTTGACCGTACCTCACTCCGCTGATCAGCGCGATTAGTGAAGGGGGGTGGCGCCCAGCGCCGTTTCAGATATCGCTCGCCGGTGTTGTGAGCCCATGGCCGGGAATTGAATTGAGGTCACCAGGTTCATAACGTAGTGCGTTAACCACTACGCCACCACTCCACCCCAAAAATAATAATTATAATAATGTCCTTAGTTTACCCAGGAATGCCTCACTTGAGTCTCAAGACATTTCCAGGAGGGTCCTGCTATATTTGAAGATTGACACAGTTATGTCATGAGTATTTGGCTTTGGAATGGATTATTCTCAGACCGATTATATATGCCGTGTATGACCGTGAACCTGGTTGTCAGGTTCATTGTGCAGTACGCTTACGTGATGGAATATTCTTTCATGCACGTACAATACGACACGTGTCACAAGTATAAGAATATATTCTAATTACGTCTCATGCTCTTGCAATGCAAAAATCCATCTGCCTTCTGCACACGGGCTGATCTCACCGCTACATATCCTTGTTTGATGTTCCACTCCGACATGTTTCCCTCCTTTGGCCGCCACTCCACCGCTAGTCTCGACCAACGACCATCAACCCTTCTCGCGATGTGTCCTACCCGAGCCCACTTTTATTAACAGCGAATAGAATATATCGAAGTGAATATAATTCCATAATGTTCCCTAATCCACGCATTAGTCCCTACGTTTTTCAGTGTAATTCTAAACTTGCACCTCTCCATTCTTCTTTTGTGAACTTTCCAGCCTGCAAGACTGTACAAACCTTTGTTAGTTTCACGAATGGCAACGGACCGTTTACGCGTCTGCCGGTCGCCGTTTGCTAAAGTCCTCATTACCGTGCAGGCCGGCGGCTCCCAGGTGATCTTCACCAACCCGCTGGAGATCGTGAAAATTCGGCTGCAGGTGGCCGGAGAGATCACAACGGGCCCGCGCGTCAGCGCGCTCAATGTTCTCCGTGACCTGGGCTTCCTGGGCCTCTACAAGGTGGGTGGCCCCCTGCCACCACGCGGTCAGCTGTGGTCCCTCGGCTCATGGTTATCGTTATCGACCAGCAGCAGCAGCAGCCACCACGTTCTGTCCACTGCTGGATGGAGGCCTCTTCCAAGCCGTCCGCCGCCTCTCACGGCCTCGTGACGATTTAACAATGCTGTTGGGTAGCGCCTGCACAAGAGGTTATTTTATCGCTTCATCTTGCTGGTGGATGACCTCTTGGGGGTATTCTCACCTTTGGTTGCCAAGTTGTTAGTCTCAGCAGCTGGTCGCCATCCCTGCCAGCGATGTTGCCTGCCCAATCCCACGGCGTTTTCTGTACGGTCAAAATGATGTCTCTAACTTACAAATGTTTTCTGATCCATTAATTCCTCTCTGTCTCTTAGTATAAATCCAAGCATGCACAGCCATCCATGCATCTCTGCACATGTCAGCTTTTGTTACATTTTACTTGTAAATGTGCATTATCTGATCTCTATGTATTATCAGATTCCAAACTTGCTCATTTTTTAGGCATGTTGAATAGTTGCTTGTCCGATAAATTAGGAATACAAATGTAGAATGAAACCAACAAAGAATATAGGACTTGCACCATACGGCTTGAAATGTCCATCTCCATCACTGTTTTCCACATTCTTAGTCAATCAAGATCATCACTTTGCTCGGAAAGAGTTGTGGTTTAACTGATGTTTCGTTAAAGAAAAAACAATACTCAAGAGAGTCTCATTTCAAGATCATACGCTTTTGTTAAAAGTCGTATTGCTTTAGCATTTACTTATGGCGGGACAAGTTTAAGTGTAGAGGTTTACGTGCAGGGTGGCCTGATTGACAGCCAGTTGTTAGTTGATTTTGTAAATCGGACTTTGATGCTTGTAAAGTACACAAGCGCATTTTCATCGTGAAACGGATATCTGAATTGTTTGTTGGTCTGATCGGACTGATTGTAACAGAACACGGTGTTAACTGTGCTATTTGTAAACGTTCTTTAGCTTTCATGCGGCAATGTTGTGATCGCGTCTGCGACTGGAACACTCGAGGGGGTGAGCGTGCGGGAAATTTTTGGGGCTAGTCTGAGCGGTTACGGTGCCTGACCACCACAAACAAGTCCTGTGGCCCTGCCCATGTGTATGGAGAAAACAGTAGTTTGTGTCTGGACCCCCCCCCCCTCCCCTGCTAATCCATGCCATCAGTAAACAGCACTTCCACATAGGCATCCGTTGCAGACAGCCCGAAACCCCTGGCCTCTGATGGTTGGTTTCCTGCAGTCTGTGACCACGTCCCAAATGGCACGGAAATTTGGGGTCAAGCCAGGGGTTTCCTCTTGGGCAAACCCACCCCCACCCCCCCAACTTCCTCTGCAGAACTGTCTCTGGTTCTGTTTGGAGTCATTAGGTCATTAGAGGTCTCTGACACTGATTAAAAATAGAGCAGCTCCAGCAGCTCTGAATGCAAAACACTTTCACTTCACGGTGATTTTTCATCCGACTCTAGTCCCTTTATATTTACATCCAGAATTGCAGCAGTTGGGGTCAGCGATGCTCAGATGCAACGAATGCAAATCCCAAAAGCCGGGGGGGCTCTGCAAGGTTTCCTTAATGACATCGGGGCCGGGCCGCTTGGACGACCCCTCTCCCGCTTAGACAAGGAGGTCTTGCGGTGAACGGTGCCTCTTGCCCCCCGGGGCGTTGAACATCCTCTCTGGGCGGTCTGCAGGGCGCCAAGGCATGCTTCTTGCGCGACATCCCCTTCTCGGCCATATACTTCCCCGTGTACGCGCACACCAAGAGCTTGATGGCTGACGAAAACGGGCGCGTGGGGCCGCTCCAGCTGCTGACCTCGGGAGCCATAGCTGGTGGGTCACCTGCTCCCCACACCCCTCCCCGCATTCCCGGGCTGACAGCAGCAGTCTCACGCTCACGTCGATGTAGGAACTCAAGTTCAACTATACCAATAACATAATGTATGTCTATTCTTGGTTCTTTTGGTAAAGTCACGTAGAAGGGAAACAAAATAATAGAAATATCAAACAATACAATTCTCACGACGTTTCGACTGCAACACAAGCAATCATCATCAGGTGTGAAAACCACAGCAAGAAAATTTGAAAAAAGTGGCGATTATTTTAAAAAAAACGCCACTTTTTTCAAATTTTCTTGCTGTGGTTTTCACACCTGATGATGATTGCTTGTGTTGCAGTCGAAACGTCGTGAGAATTTAATTGTTTGATATTTCTATTATTTTGTTTCCCTTCTACGTGACTTTACCGCAAGAACCAAGAATATGAATCCCTGCAGTCACGAAAGCTTTAAATCAAAATATAATGTATGTATATACAGTGAGGGAAAAAAGTATTTGATCTCCTGCTCATTTTGTACGTTTGCCCACTGACAAAGAAATGATCAGTCTATAATTTTAATGGTAGGTTTATTTGAACAGTGAGAGACAGAATAACAACAACAAAATCCAGAAAAACATGTCAAAAATGTTATAAATTGATTTGCATTTTAATGAGCGAAATAAGTATTTGACCCCCTCTCAATCAGAAAGATTTCTGGCTCCCAGGTGTCTTTTATACAGGTAACGAGCTGAGATTAGGAGCACGCTCTTAAAGGGAGTGCTCCTAATCTCAGCTTGTTACCTGTATAAAAGACACCTGTCCACAGAAGAAATCAATCAATCAGATTCCAAACTCTCCACCATGGCCAAGACCAAAGAGCTCTCCAAGGATGTCAGGGACAAGATTGTAGACCTACACATGGCTGGAATGGGCTACAAGACCATTGCCAAGCAGCTTGGTGAGAAGGTGACAACAGTTGGTGCGATTATTCGCAATGGAAGAAACACGAAAGAACTATCAATCTCCCTCGGCCTGGGGCTCCATGCAATATCTCACCTCGTGGAGTTGCAATGATCATGAGAACGGTGAGGAATCAGCCCAGAACTACACGGGAGAATCTTGCCAATGATCTCAAGGCAGCTGGGACTATAGTCACCAAGAAAACAATTAGTAATACACTACGCCATGAAGGACTGAAATTCTGCAGCGCCCGCAAGGTCCCCCTGCTCAAGAAAGCACATATACATGCCCGTCTGAAGTTTGCCAATGAACATCTGAATGATTCAGAGGACAACTGGGTGAAAGTGTTGTGGTCAGATGAGACCAAAATGGAGCTCTTTGGCATCAACTCAACTCGCCGTGTTTGGAGAAGGAGGAATGCTGTCTATGACCCCAAGAACACCATCCCCACCGTCAAACATGGAGGTGGAAACATTATGCTTTGGGGGTGTTTTTCGAGCTAAGGGGACAGGACAACTTCACCGCATCAAAGGGACGATGGACGGGGCCATGTACTGTCAAATCTTGGGTGAGAACCTCCTTCCCTCAGCCAGGGCATTGAAAATGGGTCGTGGATGGGTATTCCAGCATGACAATGACCCAAAACACACGGCCAAGGCAACAAAGGAGTGGCTCAAGAAGAAGCACATTAAGGTCCTGGAGTGGCCTAGCCAGTCTCCAGACCTTAATCCCATAGAAAATCTGTGGAGGGAGCTGAAGGTTTGAGTTGCCAAACGTCAGCCTCGCAACCTTAATGACTTGGAGAAGATCTGCAAAGAGAGGAGTGGGACAAAATCCCTCCTGAGATGTGTGCAAACCTGGTGGCCAACTACAAGAAACGTCTGACCTCTGTGATTGCCAACAAGGGTTTTGGCACCAAGTACTAAGTCATGTTTTGCAGAGGGGTCAAATACTTATTTCCCTTATTAAAATGAAAATCAATTTATAACATTTTTGACATGCGTTTTTCTGGATTTTTGTTGTCATTCTGTCTCTCACTGTTCAAATAAACCTACCATTAAAATTATAGACTGATCATTTCTTTGTCAGTGGGCAAACCTACAAAATCAGCAGGGGATCAAATACTTTTTTCCCTCACTGTATGTTGAACTTCTTTCCTACCATACGTAACCAACCGTGCTAGTCGGAGTATCAGCTTGCTTAACATCCTCTAAAGATATAAAATCCTCTAAAGATGTTTCGCGCCACCTAAAAATACGAGTAACGTGGACAGCATTATTTCCCGAAAAATTCCGCCTCCAATAATCGACCACCGTCATATTCGTATATCTACACTTTCATACTTGGCGATGTCGTGATTCCGTGCCATGGCATTCAATTGTGCTTTGCCTTCATCATTAGACCTTCTTTGCCAGTACCAAAATGTAATAATAGGGTTTTTCCCCTTTTTTCTGGCAACAAAACTGAAACCTTTTGACGAGGATTTATGTTACTGCATTAACCACAATACCTGCAGTCAAAATGCAAACAAAAAACATACTATGATAATATATGCATTGTCCTTAAAACTGATTGGTCCACACGAAGGGACGGCTTTCTTTTGAGCCTCGACCCAATTGGTGCTCGACCAGATGACGCCAAAAGGCGTACGCCAATTGGTGCTCGACCAATTGGTGCTCGACCAATTGGTGCTCGACCAATTGGTGCTCGACCAATTGGTGCTCGACCAATTGGTGCTCGACCAATTGGTGCTCGACCAATTGGTGCTCGACCAATTGGTGCTCGACCAATTGGTGCTCGACCAATTGGTGCTCGACCAATTGGTGCTCGACCAATTGGCGTACGCCTTTTGGCGTACGCCTTTTGGCGTCATCTGGTCGAGCACAAATTGGGTCGAGGCTCAAAAGAAAGCTTTCCCTTGGTGTGGACCAATCAGTTTCATGGACAATGCATATATTATCATAGTATGTTTTTTGTTTGCATTTTGACTGCAGGTATTATGGTTAATGCAGACATGAATCCTCGTAAAAAGGTTTCAGTTTTGTTGCAGGAAAAAATGGGAAAAACCCTATTATTAAAATGTGCTTTGCCTTGTTCTTTGTTTTTCGATGGGGTACGTAAATTGACCTCTCCTAAATTGAGGATTATTTATTAATCGCGACACCTTGGATGCGGCCGGCACAATGAGCCCTTCCTCTCCTTAACCTCTCCGAGCCGGTGCTGTGCTCGCACAGGCATGCCGGCCGCGTCACTCGTCACACCGGCCGACGTCATCAAGACGCGGCTGCAGGTGGCGGCACGCGCCGGCCAAACCACCTACACCGGCGTTGTCGACTGCTTCGCCAAGATCCTGCACGAGGAAGGTCCACGGGCACTCTGGAAGGGGGCCGGGGGTAAGTCAGGACTCCTGAGGGAAGGCCCACCCCCCCCCCCTGATTGTGCCCTCACAGCACTCGCATACGAGCAGTGCCACTAACTGCGGTCATCCAGGAAAATTAAAAACTCCAGTGTGCAACGTGGTCATTCAGAACACATCATACAACGTATAACGACGCAATACCCGATCCACAAATACAAATGAGATATAACGGTGATACACACTCCTGCTGCTCCTGACCCGGTTATCTGGCTTGACCATCTGAATGTGAAATTGTAGTTGCTGCTCTGCATCTGCATCGGCCATACGAAGGAAGAGAAGTCATTTCATTTGTATTTTGCACATTTTATTTTATTTCTTCCTCTCGATATGGAATCCCTTTTTTTTTTTGTTCAATCTTTCAGGCCCGCTTAATGTATGTAATGGTTGTTATTGAGGGCCGTTCACTTGCGGGACAAGTTATTCTAACAAGTAGATTGCACGGTAAGGGGCTGTTGTGACGCGCTCGCCGCACGGCGCATTTTGCTGCCGCCCCCTTACCACTCCCCAGCCCGCGTGTGCCGCTCCTCGCCGCAGTTCGGAGTCACCCTCCTCACGTACGAGCTGCTGCAGCGCTGGCTTAACGTCGACTTCGGCGGCAGGTGAGGCTCGGCGTTCCAGAGGAGACTGCTCATCGGAAAAAATGAAAAAAAAAACACCACCTTGGCAAAAAAAAATTTTGTTTATTCTCTTCTCGAAAATCCCCCCATTCAATTGTCGCCATGCAAAGCAAGACGGCGGGCACAATGAGTGGCGTGCGTAAGTGGTGTGCGCGATGGCTATTCGGCCACTGGTTCTCTCGCAGGCATTGTGCGGGGGGGGGGGTTGGGGGGGACACGCACCTTGTCTACGATGCGTCATGGAACTTGGCGTTGTGCCTACGCTCACCATGCCCATTGGCGCACACATGACACCGTGAGGCTCACCCGCAATGGTTTGTGCCGTTGGTGCCAGACGCGCACCCGGTGTGCACTTGCGAGCGTGCGTCCTCATATCGTTGAACGTGGCGGCGGCGGCGGCCCGAGTTGAGATTCGCGGCAACGGCTTTCATAAGTGGCGAGTGAAATGATTCGAATCGGTGCTGCCTTCCCCTCCCCCCCTCTCCCTTTGCCAAACCCACACTCGGCCAGCATGGTGAAGTATGGTGTAATTAACCCCTGGGTATGCTCCTCCTCCAGCAGTGGATTGACAGTCGACTGTAAACAATTATTATTATTACAATGGCATTCCCGAACGCGGCGTCCTGCGTGTGTGAATGTGCGCGAGCAGCAAGCCCGCTGGATCACAGCCCGTGCCCAAGTCCCGCATCTCCTCGCTGCCCCCGACCAGCGCGGACCACATTGGGGGCTACCGCCTGGCCACCGCGACGCTGGCCGGCGTCGAGAGCAAGTTCGGCCTCTACCTGCCGAGATTCGGCCCCTCGGGAGGGGGGGCGCCGACCGGCCCCGTGGCGCAGACGTTGGCCGCCCGTGGTTAGAGAGGGCTTCTCTAAGCGTCACCCACTCCCAAACTGCAAATTTGCTCGCCTGCCCACCCGAGGCTTCCAGCACTCCTCTCCGGCAGCCGCCCGTCGCCCGGGTCTCGCTGCTAACCATCGTCGTCTCCTAGAAATATAGCGGTGTTTTTATTTAGCATGCAAAATTAGTACTGTATAAATGATATATATATACAAAGACGCGCCGACACAGGTGTGTGTGTGTTTGTGTGTGCTTGTTAATATATATGGCAGTGTCAAGTGTTCGTATATTAACATTCCCACCATGTTCATTTCCTTTGCCAAGATTTAAACGTTTCTTATTTGAGTTCCACCTTTGCGTGGTTCCTGGCCCCAAGTGTTAACCAAACATTATTTACACCATCCGTGTTCAGTTTAAGAGGACAATTATTTGCTTCTAATGTTAAAAAGTAAGAGTTTATATTGTCATAAGGCGCACACTGTCAGACAGCTGACTGCCTGCTACCTTTAACAGGTCCAAATTGGAATAATATTTCACATATAGTCACAATTATATTTTTAAAAGTGTGTATACAAACTTGGTTGATCCTTCGAATCTACGTGTTGGACAGCTCCCAACAAAATGGCAATTTTAGGGCTAGCAAGCCAGTCTATTGTCCCAACTTTTTTTCAGAGACAATGGGCAAGAACGTACATTCCATGGTCTGTTGTAGTTTTTGCGCGCGCCTAAGGCTGACCACACGGTGGTCACTGAGTCTCACTCGCCCAGCACAGAAAGCTGCGATTTCATGCCAGTTCTCTGTATCGGTGGTAAGTTGACTCCAGTCCTTGGTACCGGATGTAATTATTGACGACAACAGGGTTTAGTTGGTCCTGTGAGTCTACATTTTGTGTCTCTGCCCTTGTGATCTGGTGAGGCTGATTACATAATGCTTGAAATATATATAGTTTGTCCTGCTAACAAACTCTGGGAACGTGTTACTAAAGTTTAAACGGCCAACCGCACAAATGTGATTACTGCACTGTTGAGCTCACGCATGCTTCATGCTGCTACACCCAACACTGTGCTCTCATCCATGGATTCGCTGTGGAATTGTCGTATAGGCAGATGCCCGACACAACCAACGCTACCACTTTCCATCCAAAACGGTTGCCTAGTTCATGTGAATCGCGTGTTGGCACTCATTGAACTTAGGTCACCATTTTTATTTTGAAGAAGCAAGGCACAGTGTAATTTTTCACAATCGTTGCACTGTGTTGTATTCGTAACTCTACCAAAAGAAAGAATCCCTCTGTCGAGTAGCCCACGCAGGAAACCCAAGTGCCCATGTCTGGTTGCTGTTAGCGCAGCCCTGATTAAATAAAGTTATGTTTGTATTTACCGCAGGTGGTGTGTTCAGTAGCTTTAAAGAGCCAGATCAGTGATGAAAACAGGAACGTTTAAACTGGGTGGTGGTGGTAGTGGTATTTCATACTGCTACCCCGGGCCCTGTTGCTAATAAGATCCCTATTCAACGCTGACCCTCAACTCACTTTATCGTCACTTCAGCGCGATGTTTAAGACTCCACTTGAACACAGTCACATTTATTTGAACGGAATCTACTTTAAAAAAAAAGCCACAATTGACATTCCAAGTCTAGCAGTCACTTTCCAGTAAACATTGAGGACCAGGCCTCCTTGTACCGAGCCATTAAATGTCAGAAAAAAAATTAGTTTCATAAACCAAGTTTATCTTCGGGTGTTGGCACCTTAAACTTGTGTTGCTTGTAGTTGTGCTACGTCTCCACTCGCTGTTGGGTGCTCTTCTCTTACTATAGTGCTTGGAGCATATGTGCAATTCCTCTTAGATTTATATATCCGCTAAGTCGAAGCTAATTCATTTATGTGGCAATCTGTGTTCCCTGTTCATAGGTTTACCGCAGATTTTGTTGATAGCTTTGCAATGAGCTTATATTGAAGTGTCGATGCTTATTTATTATTTTGGAAATGTGCGATTACACATATATGCATTCCCTAAAACACATTTCGATTATTTTGCAACAGTGTTCGCTGCCGCATTTTGGCAAATGCAGTTGAAAATCTAGTCCCCCCCGATGTAATTTGTTTTTATATTGATAATGAACATAAATTAATAAAAGTACAAAGATAAATGTTAAAACAAGTGTGGGAGGCTACATTAAGCTAAGCCTCATACAAACACGCATGCTCCTATGGTGCTGTCAATCATTTCAATGAAATAATTAGCTTTAAATAAAATCGTGAAAGTGTGCACTAACTGCATATGAAAACGCACAAACCCAAAACACAGCACACTCCAGCAATGTTTAAGCTACGAATGAACAGTTCTGTACTTTTTTTGTGCGTGTTCCGTCAAAGCAGCGTCGTTTTCTTTTGCAGTCGACTGCTTGGCTGTTTTCCTTTCTCTTTGCAATAACGCAGGGGTCGCGGTAACTTATATTTTTCGCTGACTCGCACACTCCTAGTATGGGGGGAGGGGGGGGGCGCAGTGGCTTGGCAACTCTGTCTGGAGGGTGTCTTGTAATCTCTCTTCGCAAGGGGCGCTCGCTTACCAACAACGTTCACGCGCGCTTGCGACGAAAAGGCGCTTCTTGCATCGAAGTTGCCCCTCGCTCGGCCGCACAGCAAAATTGAGCTGCGTCGACCTTGCTGCTGGTGCGCTGCGATTACGCGGTCGGAAATGTGTACGCGTGGACGTTCAGCTGAGCATTTGGGAGACGGCGCGTATTTTATGTGGCCCTCTCCACAATAGAGATGCTTTGCCGATGTAGAACAACTGGTAAATGGCCTGTCAGCGGGCCGCATTTCATTTTTACATTCGCTCTTTGTTGAAGAGGTTTTTTTTATTTTATCATTCTCAGGAATGAGCACATGCTTGAATGCAGGAACAGGGCTGTCCAATAAAACCGCAAGGCAAACGAACAAGACGTGTTTGTGTTTGTGACTTGGAGCATGTTAAGGGAGTGTAAATGATGCCGTGGAATGGATCGATGTCTACATTTGGTGCTCCGCGTACTTAATGATAATACATGTATGACCTTTACGACAGCTGTTGTGTATTATTCAAGTAGGCTTTGGAGGCGGGGTGGGGTGTTTACCGTCAATATAGAGTTATTTTAATACGGAGCATTCTCGGATCGTGTTTTTTTTTGTTGCAGCCTTCTCAGATGTTTAGTTAAACAAACAGTGATGTGCTATGAACCATGAATGCACACATTCAAATACCACCATCACTGCCCATGCATTGAACTGCCACAACAAACACTTGGCATGAGTGTGAGATAATCGTGATTTGTAGATCGTTGGCTATAAATACCGTATCACACAGCATAAACTGTGTTTACTGCATTAGCATTTCTGCCTTTGATTTGTCTGGGTGGTATCTGGGGCGTTCAATTTCGACGCAACCGCGGGCGATTCGCGCGAAAGCCACTGCAGCGCGCCATCGCTTCCGACATTTGCCTCCCTGTTGCCCGCATTCAGATCGCCAGCTACCTCTCGACTTTGGGCTTGTCCACCGTGTATCTCTCCGCTGCTGTCACCCCGCACTACGGCACACGGTGGAACTCTACGCAGCGGCTGCGCGACTCCCAACCGCCTCTTCCTCTCCACAGATTAAGGAGCAGGCGCCGTCACTGCCGGCCCTCGCTCCTTCCGCGGCGGCCGTCGGCCGTCAGGAACGCGGCCGCCACCCCTCATCCACCACCACCATCGTCATCATCCCGCTGCACAAGCGCGGCGGCGTTCAAACGACACCGCCTTTTAATCGACGCTTAAATAACCCTCGCCTGGCTTTGGCTTGACACGGAGCTTGGCTCCGCGCATCGGGAGTCCACGGTCATCGTGTCCATGAAATATTGTGCGCGTTAAAATTGCGCTGGTATTGTCGTGCCCAAATCCCACATCGTCGGTAGCACAGTCGACACCTGACTTCCAAAGTCCGTCTGCTCTTAGTCTCACGCCACTGACGGAAGATTTGCATAGAAGGGTGTGGGTGCTCACCGCCCTCCTTCCCCCCCCCCCCCCCCCATTGGGTGGTGCCCCCTAATTAACAGCGTCCTAGAATGACCACTCAATTGCAGTGTGGTCTTATTAAGGGGTTCAGAGTGCATCTCTTAAATCCGGAATGTTACACAGACATGCTGCAGGGATGTGTGTGCCGAGAGGCAGGGGGAGGGTGCTTGTGGGGGGGGTCTCTTGTCCGTGGTTCTGCAGCCTCCACCGCCACCTCGTGTCTACCCCCCCCCCCCCACCGCGTCGCCCGGTCGCGCAGGACGGGAGCGAGAGAGGGCATTTCGTCACTCAATTACGGCGCCAACTTCCCGCGAGTAGCCGGGTGTCGTTGCCAATGAATTCAACCCCGATGCAGCCTGGAGAGTTGTATGGAGTTCGAAAGAAGGTCCACCCTAAACCGCATCCATACAAACCACGGCCGATCCGAATACCTGATGCACAAACGGAACATTAAAACTCTCCAGTATGCGACTTGTCCACCCAGAACAGACCGTACAACGTATAACGATGTAATGCCCGAACCACCAAACTACGAAGGAGACCAGGACGATACAACCCCGCTCCTCTGGACGCGGTTATCTGTTTATGCCACCTGAGTGTGAAATTATCGTTGTTGCTCTGCGTCTACATCAGCCGTACGAAAGAAGAAGATTGGCAAGGAGAGAAGACTCCAGTGTTGGCTTTAGCTCCTTGATTACACCGCTTCGGGGGGGGGGGGGGAGAGGTGCTCATCGTGCTGTCGAACGTGCAGGTCGGTAGGCACGGTGAGGTTCGGTGGTATTTCCTGATTGCAAGGCGTGCAATTCTAGACTTTAAATTTCAACCATTTCCATCTTATTCTTGGTTCTTTCGGTAAAGTCACGTAGAAGGGAAACAATAAAATAATAAAAATATAAAACAATTAAATTCTCACGACGTTTCGACTGCAACACAAGCAATCATCATCAGGTGTGAAAACCACAGCAAGAAAATACGTTAAAAATAACCGCCACTTTTTTCAAATTTTATTGTTTCCCTTCTACGTGACTTTACCGAAAGAACCAAGAATATGAATCCCTGCAGTCACGAAAGCTTTAAATAAAAAAAAATTCCATCTTACCAGGTAAGAAGGCCCACTGAGCTATTATAGCTCTTTTTTCAGGAGCTACCTGGCCCACAAATGATAGCTCAACAAAGTGACTTATCGCGTGGAAATGTATAGCAGCCATATACTCTAAACGAGCGGTCCCCAACCTTTTTAGCACCAGGAACCAGTTTCGTGGAGGACAATTTTTTTCACGGACCTGGGGGGGGAGTTCATCATTGGGTCTTTCCCCCTTTTCAAATAAGCTCTCCAGCGACGTTTGTTTTTTACTCATTTTGCCTACTACTAGGGGTTAGCTTGTGGGCTTACCAACACTGTGACTGAGACGATTACGCAGTGCGGGAAAGAGGCGCGAACGGAAGTGGTAAATAATAAAATAATTGGCGGGCCACGCGCGGACTCACCGCTCTTACCTCCTGCTGTGAGGCCCGGTTCCTAACAGGCCACGGACCGATACCGGCCCCCGGACCGGGGTTTGGAGACCCCTGCTCTAAACACTTAGAATGCAAAATATAATCTTTAGAATTAATGGAATTTGTAGGCCAAACGTCATCTCAAGATGCTTGCATAGATGCAATGGACAAGCCAGAAAGCCAGCCAGTTATGGGAGCCTCTAAGACTGCTTGGGAATACCGGGTAACTGTAGGGTCGGTGGGGTGGCTAGCAGATGGCAGTACAAAGATGACTGCTTGTGTTGCAATCGAAACGTCGTATTCTATTTTTAAAAAATCTACGTGACTTTACCGAAAGAACCAAAGAGTAATTCCTGCAGTCACAAAATCTTCAAATCAAGATAGATGAGCGAATCTGCCCGTACGAACATTTGGGTGTCACCCTCGTGTGCATAGTTGGGTTTTCTTCGGGTACTCCGGCTTCCGTCCCCCACAGAGCCAAACAACAGTCATGGGTTTGGCCAAACATCCCAGTGTTTGGAAGAAGGATCCTCCCGTTATCGAATGAGTCTTGAGACTCGGTGAGATTTTCGTGGAGTAAATAAATAAAGCACATGTCTTGAGTCGTATGTATATAATTGCTGCGGACAACGCGGACACGCCTGCCCCAGCACACAAAGCGCCTGTCTTGTGCGGTGAGGTCAGCAGCGATGGTGAGGTCAGCAGCGATGGCTCGGGGCCACGCGCGTGCGTGTGCGTGTACGTGTGCACTTCGCATTCGGTTCAGATAATCGTCACTGATGTTGCCCGTGAGCGGGAATCGAACTCGGGGTCGATGGGGTTCGGTCCTCGTGTGCCGTGCCGGCATTTATTGGCGCTACTCGCAAACGGAACTTGCCCGAACAATCTGTTAAAAGGCTATACAGGGGATCTTTGTCTTTGCGCCTCGCATTGTGTTGCCGAGGAGGGGAGTCACGCGGTAAACACACCTGAGCGACCCCCCCGTGGCCTCGCATTGTGCACCTTGGAAAAGAAGGGCCCTCTTGCTCAAGGTATTCTTCACGCGTATGCCCCAGGGTAGGGAGCCTAGGAAGGGAATGAAGGAGGCCTAGGAAGGGTGGGGGTCGAGGAGGGAGGGGGAAAGGGAGGAGTAGCATCTCAGCAGGAGGTAGAGGATGATGGCGGGGCTGAGGTTATGTGCAAAATAAAGTGAACAAAGCGGTGGACAACAGGGTAAGCACTTAACTGAAGTTGAGTGTGGAATCGCTGGGGGACGACAGGCAATGGGGCTGATGGACGAGAGCAGAGTTTGTTTTGTGAACAGACAGAATAGGCGGGTTCTGCGCGTATTTCCCTCTTTCCCGTGAAACACCACGGCGACGCACAATGAGTTTGTATTTCCTGATTCCTTTTGGGGGTGAACGGTGCCCCACATTTAATATGAAAACCAAAGAGAAGCAACATATTCGTCGATATTCCTATGGAGTGTTGCTGGTAGATTGATCACCATTCGTTGAACAAGCTACACAGTGCTGATGAAACCCAGGAGGTTGAAACCGGCCCAGTGTTTGCTTGTGTCGATGATGTTGATCTGGAAAATAAATATATTAGCTGATTCACTCTTTTTGTTTTATTTATACATAGAGATTCGCCCAAAAGTCAGGACACATCGGGTTATTATATGTATTCTAACACATCACATCGGGATCTTTCATTTATTTTAACAAATACTCAACCTGACACCCATTAACATTAATACATACGTGCATTCTCTTTTGAAATTAATTTAAGACTCGTTCGTCTTAAGACTATAGACAGCTGTGCAATCTTTGAACGTGCATTAATTATGGTTTGTTGTCTCAATTCATTTAGGGTTCTTGGTCGAGTTTTGTATGGTGACCCCACACAAAGAAGAAACATATATAACGATTTTGATATAAAGCTTTCGTGACTGTAGGGATTCATATTGTTGGTTCTTTCGGTAAAGTCACGTAGAAGGGAAACAATAAAATAATAAAAATATAAAACAATAACATTCTCACGACGTTTCGACTGTAACACAAGCAATCATCATCAGGTGTGAAAACCACAGCAAAACATTTTCTGATGATTCCTTGTGCTGTAGTCGAAACGTAGTGAGAATTTTATTGTTTTATATTTTTATTATTTTATTGTTTCCCTTCCACGTGACTTTACCGAAAGAACCAAGAATATATATTTAACGATCATCAATTACACGCGTGTTTTAATGCCAGTGTTAAAATACATGAAATAAACCGAAACGTCGTCCTGACTTTTGGGCCACCCTGTATATTTGCCTTCACCGAGCGGTGGCCGCATGGGGTTAAACCCGTGAGCAGGAAACTTTGATAACCGATCCCAGTTCGCATTCATGAATGGGCATCGTCTCTGCTGCTGCTACTGCTGCTGCT